CTTTAACCCGCTGCGCCACCAAGGAGGGCCCCTGGGACTCGTTATTTATTACAAATCATTCCACACTTAGCCTTCTACTGCAATATCCTTTTGCATTTCCCCTTTACTAGGGAGTCTGGATCTGGTTGGTGCAGTCAGAACTCTGAGGTCACCACGCCCGTTCACCACAGAAGTGGGAAGCTGTTTACTTTTCCACTGCTGCGGTTTCCTAATTGCCACTGCTATGTGTGTGGATGATTTGTGGTAATAATAATCTTGAAGCCTCATTTTTTCTCTTTGGAAGGAAGCTGATGTTCTTCCCCAGCTAATTATGAGAATAAGTAAGAGACTGGATTACAGTATCTGGCACAGACAGGCACAACCAACAATGACAATCACTACTGTCTCCCAGAATCCTCCTGCACGCACACAAGGTGAGCAATGGAAAGGAAAGCTGAAGCTTGACGTTTCTCTGACATTTCTCTGACGACACCATCTTCTGCTGCTCGCCTACGTACACATTAAGAGAAAGAATAGCAAGAAAGAAACATAGAAAGCAAGTTAGGTTGCATATGCTTCAAGGTGGAACCAGGAAACTAGGAAAGTCTCAGAAAAAGGAAATGAGAACATTTTTATTAAAAAGGAAAACAAAAGTCAACATAATGTACAAAATAATAATACATAACCTATCGAAATACTTAAACAGTAGTTTTATTTTGAAACTAAAAGAAAGTTACTTATTTTAAGTCTCAAGATAATATAAGAAATAAAATATTTGTAACAAAAAATGTCCTTGTAACAAAAAACGTCCTTTACATTCCTGACTGTAAGTCTTATTTAAAACGGAACACTTAATCTTTAGTTCAACTGGCAAATCATGTGTACTGTAATGCTCTAAAAAAGGGCCTTTTTACTTCCTCTATTTAAGAAAAAAGAGAAATAAATCCAAGCAGCTTTGTACCTTACACACATAGCTCCTTAACACTCACACGTAGGTGTCATGTCTCCAGGCAAAATCCTTCTGTGCATTATTATCTTTCCAGCTAGTCCAGGTCTATTTTCCCCTCTCCTCCAGCTTCTCTCAGTACCAGAGATACTAATGGTAAGTGAAGTTATCACACAATTTCCCTTTTCTTCTAGAATCAAGCTTCTTCCCATTAGTTGTTTGCAAAGTTTCTCACTGCCAGTCTCTCACATGTTTCTATCCCCTAACAATAGGCATGTTGTCTCCTAACTTGGAAAATTAACATGAACATCCACATTGACCTGGCAGTTGTCAACTGCAGTCATTTTCCAGGCAGCCAACATAAGGCCATGAACAGAGCTGCCTTTGTTGTGAAAAAAATGATTTTTCTGAAGTTTATGTGATGCTGAAGCTGTTCTGTACAACCCACTGCTCCTGGCTCAAATACCAGCAAATAGCAGCATGTATTCTGTGAGAAGTATAAAGGACATGGAAAAAGATAGTTAATCTATTCAATGAGATAACAGAACTTGATTGTTTCTTTCTTTGTGTTCTAAATTTTAATATAGAGTTTTAAGATCTTACCCAAAATTCGAAAGGGAATTCATTGTCAAACTCATGTTTTTTCCTCCTGAATTATTGTGAAAATAAATCAAGTAGCTTCTCTTTGATATTTGTTAATTAGTCTCTAACAAAAATCAACCTGACAGTGAACTTGCAAAAAGTAACATTCCAAAGCAAGAAAATTTGGTTCTAGGTAAAACAAAAAATACTTAGATACTATAATTTGTCAGGTTAATTAACACTAATGGCAGTACAAGTAAAAAGTGGGATTATGTCAAACAG